CCGAACAAGAGCCGGGGGCGGGTCAAGGAAGTGTTCGACGGCGCGTCTGGGAGACCCCCCCCAGGAGCGGTGCAACAACGGGTCCAGCATCGAGGCTCCCAAACGGTCTTGTTCGACGAGGCCCGTCAGACCCCCCCCCGAAAAGTTTCCCCCCATTGTTATGATGAGATCTGGAGTGCCCATCGGTTGTTGAAAGTACGGTTGGGGGTGGAAGGATAGCGTGCGCTGTGGCGCAGCGGGCCCGCTTACTACACGGTATCCCCCACCATTGGAGATAGCGTGCGCCGAAGAAGCCCTGGCAGGGGGATAGCTCCCACAGAAGGGGCCCCCGCGGGGGGATCGCCTCACTGGGATGGCGTGCTTTCCGGAGATCGATGTTGCACGCTATATGTTCAACGCCAACCGTCAGTATTTTTGGTTCGCCCGGTTCCAATCGTCCGTAGGCCCTTCGTAATCAAGGGCCGAGTGGTTTTCCTTCCTGCTTCCTCTTCAGTAGGCGGGCGGAGATCCAATCTATTTCCGACGCCTTTCGCGTTCATATTTCCACCCAGTTCTTCCGACCGATGGGTATACGAGACCAGTAGGTGATCAGGAGTTCGGGTAGGGTGGACAGGAACTTGTGTATGTTGTTGTTGTCGTTGTCGTTGTCGTTGTCGTTCTCGTTGTACTTGTCGTTGTCGTTGTTGTTGTTGTTGTTGTTGTTGTTGTTGTTGTTGTTGTTGTTGTTGTTGTTGTTGTTGTTGTTGTTGTTGTTGTTGTTGTTGTCGTCGTCGTCGTCGTCGTCGTCGTCGTCGTCGTCGTCGTCGTTGTCGTTGTCGTTGTCGTCGTTCTCTTTCTCGTTGTCACTGTCGTTATCATTGTCGTTGTCGTGGTCGCTGTTGCTGTTGCTTTTGCTGTTGCTGTTGCTGTCGTTGTTGTTGTTGTTGTTGCTGTTGCTGTTGCTGTTGCTGTTGCTGCTGCTGTTGCTGTTGTTGTTGTTGTTGTTGTTGTTGTTGTTGTTGTTGTTGTTATTGTTGTGGTTGTTGTTGTTGTTGTCGTCGTTGTTGTTGTTGTTGTTGTTGTTGTTGTTGTTGTTGTTGTTGTTGCTGTTGCTGTTGTTGTTGTTGTTGTTGTTGTTGTTGTTGTTGTTGTTGTGGTGGTGCTATCTTTTCGTTTCTCATCCAGAAAATGCCACGGCTCGGAGGCTTCACGGCTCTCTCTCTCTCTCTCTCCTTCTCCTCTTCCTCCTCCTCCTCCTCCTTTTGATCCTCCTCCTCTTTTTTTCTTTTCCTCCCTCTATCTCTCTCTTTCTCACATGACTTTTGATTAGTGGACCTTCGGTCCATTCTGCAACCATGTCTGGGTCTTGGACAGGAGGCCTCTTGGATGCCTCTTGGGGCCTCTCGGGGGCCTCCTGTTGGCCTTTCGTGGGCCTCTTGGGCCCCTCGGGTGGCTGCTGGCTGTCTTGAAGGCCACCTCGGGCAGGAGGGTCTGAACTGGCAGTCGAGTTCCCTCTCTTGGGCCCCTCTTGGGGCCCCTCTTGGGCCCTCCTGGGGGCCTCCTGGGCTTTCTTTGGCGAGTCTTGGGGGCCTCCAGGGGCGTCTTGGACTGGACGCTCGGATGACCGAAATTCCAAGCATGCGAGCATCGTGCAACAGCCGAAGGTAACTATTTGAATGCTTTTGGCCTCTTGGGCAGGCCCCCCGGGCCTCCAAGACGGCCCGAGATGACGCGAAAGAGCCCCAGGGCGGCCTCTCGGGACCATCGAAGGTTGAAGGGCATGTTGGACACACGCTCCCGTGGCGTTTGGAAAAGTCACGCGGGGATCCTGGTAGCGCCCAGCAGTGCCCAGAAAATCCGCGAGTTGGGGTGTGGGATTCTTCGGACAAGTGTTTTTACAATGCCTAGGGCTGCGCGCCACTGGCGCGCCGGCAGAGGCAAGGCCACCAGCACGCCTACCTCTTTTCACCCTTTACCTGCGGACACTCCACTTCGTGTCTTGGGGCACGCTGGCGGTATTTGTTTGGGTATATACACGTATGTGTATGTACATGAGCCTGTATATTCGTACACAGCTCTTCGAGGGAGTAAAACTCAGAGGCGATTATCGTGTCGCTTGCGCTTTTTCTCGCCGTTTCGGTTGGGGCACCCTTACTTTCGGAACATCGGACGGATCTCTGACACAGATCGCGACGTCAGGGAAACACACAATGGATTTCTGACAGTTTAGCATAAGCCTGCAAAAGGCAATGGGTGTCAACGATTTCGCACACAATGGTTCGGCAACCTATGTTGCTTTTAGTTGATTCCGGTGTTCAGGGTGTTTAAGTAAATCGTTCAAAAGGGCAGTGGATTTAAATATGTTTGTACGTAACTGCTAGAACAACAATGTTTTGTTTCTTGGGCTCCCAGTCTAGTTCTCTAACTTTGCGTTTGTCTTTTCATGTCCACGTGGGTGCTTCTCAACTTTTGTTCTACTATCGCAAGCTGCGGCAGTCGCAAGCTGCGGCAGTCCCATCGGTGACCCCCTTTGCTTTTTGTACGAGCCTGGGCATGCACGTTTCTCTTGTATACGAGAGAGCGCGTTCTATGCTCGCTTGGCCGGGAAGCATCCCAACATTTTCCTCACCAGAGGTTCCCACCCACCCCAACGTTCTGGACGAGGAGGAGGAAGGAGGAGGATAAGGAGGAGGATGAGGAGGAGGGGAATGGGGAGGGTGAGGGGGAGTGGGAAGACGAGGAGGAGGAGGAGGAGGAGGAGGAGGAGGACGAGGAGGAGGAGGAGGAGGAGGAGGAAGAGGAGGAGGAGAAGGAGCCCCCCAAGAGAGGGCCGGGGGTCCAATCTTCCAGCTTCCCAACCGAATCAGGGAACCCCTTTTTCAAGATCGCAGGGATAACCGGGATCATCAGGACCACCTGAGTCACCGAGATCACTGGGATCACCGACCACCAGGGTCAACCAAACCGCTGGAAACACAGAAATCACCGATCCCACCAGGATCACCAGGATCACCGGGATCACTGGGTTCACCAGGATCACCGTGATAACCTGGTTCACCAGGATCATCGGAATCACCGTGATCATGCGGGGTGGCCCTCCCCCCCTCAAGGGCCCCCCCCCCCCTCCAGCTTTTGAGCCCCCTCCCTTCCCCAGATTTTTTCCGAGATCAGGGCCCCCAGTGCGGAGTGCGGCCCTGGAGAGCTCGAAGAAGGTTTCTGAGAGGCTTTCACAAGGCAAAAGTTGTGGATTCTCTATAGTATGAAGGATTTGAGTGTTCTCGTCTTTTCCGACTTTTCCCAGCCCAAGACGGAACTGGACTCCTTCCAGATCGCCTCACGATGGCCCCAGAGAGCCCCAAGAGGTCCACAAGGCGGCCCGAGAGGGCAGCAAGACGGCCTAAGAGGCTCCCAAGACGGCCCCACTACGAGTCTAGTGCGGCTTCCCCAAAAGACACCCGAGAAGTGCTCCCGAGAGGTCCCCGGCAGTGCCCCGAGGGGTCTCCAAGAGGCCCCCGAGAGAAGCTCCCCAAGAGACTCCGGGATGCTTCCGCACGCTTCCGACCTGCAGCCCCCCCCCCAGGGGTGGTGGCGGGACGGTCCGACAGAGGGCGACGGAGAGGGAGAGGGATGGGCAGCGAGAGAGGCTGGACCTCTCGGGAGGGGAGGTCTGGACCCCTGTCGTCTGGGGCCCTCGGGCCCCCCCATCCCTTCTCCTATCCGCTCCTGCTCCGCCTCCTCCTCTCTCGACGCGGGGGCGGAAGGGGAGGGTGGACGGGGTTCGGGAGGACATCCGGGCGTGTTCTCAGTACCCACACGACCACCCTTCAGGTGAGAAGGAGGTTCGGGGTGGGGTGGGGTGGAGGAGCCAACGTCTCGCTCAATCGATCTCACTGTCGATGTCACTATCGATCTCACTATCGATCTTACTATCGATACCACTATCGATCTCACAATCGATCTCAGTATCCCTCGCACTATCGATTGCACTGTCGATCTCACGTTCGATCTCACAGCTGACCTCACAATCGATCTCACGATCAATTTCACTTATCGATATTCCTGTCGATATCTCTATCGACCTCGCTATCGATTTCCCTATCGACCTCACTATCGATCTTACTATCGATCTCACCATTCGTTTCATTCTCGATTTCACTATCGATCTCACTATCGATATTGGGATCAATATCATGGTCGATCTCACGATCACTATCGATATCACTATCGATCTCGGGTTGTCTGGGGTCATCTTGGGACAATCTTGAGGTCTCAAAATCGTATCGGAAGCGAAAAGGCGAGAATGCACACATCATTGCTCTTCGTTTGGTTTTTGAAGAGTTTTCGCTTCTTGGGGGGGTCCTGATGGGGGCTCCGAGAGCACTTGAAACCGCCTTGTGGCCATCGTCGGGCCTCTTGGAGCCGTGTCGGAGCCTGTCTTGAACCATCGAACCCTGCGTAATTTAAGACGATTTGTGGCTTCGGGGGCGTGCACCTGGCGCAATTTTCAAAGGAGGAATCGTGGCCTCGGGGGCGCAACTCTGGAGGCGCGACTCTGGGGTGACCAGCGAGGGGCCGTGGCCTCGGGGGCGTGAAGCTGGTCATCTACTAGGGGTCGTGGCCTGGCGGGCGCGACTCCGAGGTCATGTCAAGGGATTCTGACCGAGAAGCCGGCGTAAGTTATGAGTCGGGGGTGGACAGAACCCCCAACAGTGACACGTCGATTAGTGCATTGTCCGTTTTCGGTTCTCGAGAGGGCGCCGCGGCCGTTATTTTCCAGGCTTGCGCCCGCCAGGTTTGGGCCTCAGGTCGTTTTCACTAAACCACGTTTTACTAAAGGGGGGTCTGTCCATCCCCGAATGAGGGATTACGGCTTCAGGGGCTCGAATCTCACGTACATGCACGTGTCCTGGGCCCCCGCCCTGGGAATTCAGAACCTGCGATTCCGGGGTGGTGGCCATGGCGGTCTGGGGAAAACTCGCGCAGGCAGGAACAGTTTACAGCAGGAAGCAGAAGCCAGAAGT